ACCTACCACTCTGCCAGCCATGAGAGGATGCCTAGCATGACAGGCTGGCCATGGACTCGAGAGCCACACTGCGTGGTTTCAGATCTTGGTACTGTCACTTTCTAGCTGGGTGACTTTAGAAAAGTTATTTTACTTCTTTGTGTCTCAGCTTCTTCAACTGTAAAATGGGGATAATCTAGTCACACCTCATAGGGTTGTGAACGTTAAATGAGTGAATTTGGTAAAACCTTCCAACAGCATCAGACACATTGCTTACATTCATTAAGTGTTCCTTTTGCTTTTAACATGATCACAATTGTAATTCTTATGCCAGGTGGCTTCTGCATACCTGCTCTGGGACTCATAGTGCTGGGTCACAGATAGCTAAGCTCCAGGCCCTGTCCAGGAGGCACTCTCACACTAGCGGGTAAAACCCAAGTGTTAACAGTTGCGATACAAGGAAGCACATGGTATTTGGGGGTCGTGAGTAAGCCCAAGAACACTGTGTCCCTCACCTGGCTTACTTTAAGCATTAGCCTTCACCTGGATCTCTGGACTCCTGATCATTTATGCCCTGCTGCTAGCAGTCCAGGTGTGATCTTGGCAGAGGAGTTTGGATTTGATGGGTAGAAAAGCAGGGGCTGATGTATTAACAGAGACTTAGGTAATACAGTCTGTTAATTGTATTAACAGAAGACCTGGTTATCTCCAGAGAGAATAGTGGTGCAGGGACAGTGCTGGACTTGGGTTAGCAAAGGTGTGAGACAAAGGGCTGGAGCAAAGTCTTGAGGAGGGGAGAGTGAGGCCTCAATGGTTGTATCCAGAAATGAGCAGGCGGGCGACCCCTAACGGTCCTGAGCCCTTCCCATGACAAGATGGCCGCTAGGTGTGATGTTTTAAAAGGAACCAGATGAGTAGTGGGTTAGGTCTGGGATGGCAAACAAGTTTCCTCTCTGGACCACTCGCCTGGCTCTGGCTGCCAAGAGTGCTGCATTGAAAAGAGCTCTAAGACTGAGCAGGAGAGAGGGCCATGATTGATTAGTGATGTCTGCTATGGCTCTGGGAGTGGGAGGAGTAGCACCCATGCCACATAGTCACCACCTAGACCTAATGATGTTTAAGGTCCTTTACAGCATAAAATAACACACACGGTTGGGTGGGTGGTTCGTCTTAATGGAGTGAGCTGAATGCATTGGGGACTTCCTGAAGGGGTTGAGTGGCGCAATGACAGCACTGGGCTTGGATTAACAGGAGTGTGAAACAAAGGGCTGGAGCAAAGTCTTAGGGAAGGGAGAGTAAAGCCCTAAGGGTTGCCAAGTGGCCTAGACCCTGGCGGGGCTGCACACCATTTCTGTACAGCCTACAACTCCGCAGCCCTCGGGAAGCTGCCCATTTCTGGGAATTGTGCAGAGGGGAAGGGCAGCTCTTGGAATGCAGAGCCATTTCCTCCATGTGGGCTCGGCCCCCAGTGTGCCCTCATCCCCCTGAACTGGGAACACCCACATATCCTAGAGATGAAATTAGCTTCCCAGGGCTGATTCAGCTTAATGTGAATAGAAGTCTATTCCCTCTCCCAAGAGCACCATTAATAGTGACTGTTTCTCCCTCTTCCAGCCTTATTACCTAGACAACTTGTAGCTCTGATGGGGCTCGGGAGAATCTTATAATTAGTATAGAAATGGAAAAGCAAAAAGCAGTAAAAACTAAACCTTCAATAAAGTTGGCAACATCTTTGGGAGAGGCCCTGGGTTGGCTGCTGCCCCAGCTCTGAGGAACTGTGGTTCTATAGTCAGGGCCACAGAAGCAGCCAGAAGGATGAAGAGTGCCCCATGGGTTAGGGAAACACGATGACAGTCAAAGAAAAGTCCTGCGATACTGCAAAACTATATTACCAAAAGGATTCAAGGCAGTATCGTGTGACAGTTCCATCATGACCTTCGGCGTCCGGCCAATCCACTGCAGATGCCCACTAAATGGTGGGGGTATTGCTGCTTTGTAGCCTCTCCTGGGCACCATTTGTCCTGGGCAGGACTATATGACACTACCTAGGAAGTAGTGGTGGCTGGGAGCATGGGGTGCATGGAGAGGCCAGGAAACCCATGGACGCCTTGACAGTGTCTGCAGCCAAAGCCATTTCTTTCACATGTGCCTACTTGGGGGTATTCTTTTGCTCTGTAGAAGCCCTAGAAACTGGGAACCTGGAGAGAAGGGGGCAGATTTTGTAATATAACCACTGAGCACTGCTGCTTGAGGGAGCTACTAGGGCCCACCGCTGTCCTAGGCATTTATATCTGGTACACAATAATATTTGGTTCCCTGGCAGCCCTAGGTGGTACAGGGCTCTTAGGGCTGTGAATGGGGCAGGTAAGTGGTCCAAATCACTGGGGTCTACCAGACTGGAGGGAGGCCAGGAGCCCAACTACTGTGCATATCAATGCAAATACGCCCTTGCTGGGGAGCCCTCCAGCTTTTGTTTGTTTACTGAGGCTATATATATATATTCTTGAGTATCCTGCTCTCCTGTTTTGTAGATGAGGAAACTAAGGCTCCTGGAAATTAAGAAACTTGCTCCAGGTCACACAGGGAGTTCATGTCAAGAGTCCATGGCAAGCTGCCTGGCTATAGAGTTCAAGGCTATTACTGACCCTCCAGGCTGTTCCCCCTAAGAACTGAGGTGGGCTTTGCACAAGACTGCTCCCGGGAGGTCTCCGACCCCCAAAAAATACTTTGAAAATTTCTGGGTGAAAAAGTTATTCTGGGGTCGCAGTCTCCCCTGCCCCTGTGAGAAGAACTGGCATCACCCCCTGCTTCTTGGCCCAAGGGAAGGCTGGGTGGCTGGAAGGCCGCACTGGGGCAGTGAGGAGTCACGGAGCAGACCCCGAGCCTTCCATGCCTCAGGCCCTGCCTGGCCAGTGAGAGGCGAGGGAATGAGGAGATGTGGCTCTTGTCCTCATGCAACTTCCCAGCTGCGTGCGGAGGTGCGTCTGCCATTCAGAGAACAACCGCAAGCTATGCATGATGGCACTAACCATGGGGAGAGAAAGGGAACTAGAGACAGCCCCAGAAGTTTATTTCTTGACTTAAAGATGCATAGCGTTTTTGTATACACATTATTAAGGTTGTTGAGGCAGCGATATTGCCTTTTAGGAAGAAATTTCCAGGAGAAGCGAGGGTTTGCATTGCCCGTGGACTGGGAGGGGCGCTCAGAGCCGTGGTTGCCACAGGAACCAGCGCTCAGTGGCCAAATGGCTGCTGTTCCAAAAGTTGGTTTCTGAGTGGAGGGGGCTGTCTGGAATCTCAGAGCCGTTTCCCATGGAAACAATGTTCTAAATGATGGGTGATGTTCCCACACAGGCCTATTTAATCTGATTGCAATGGAGCTGAGATGGCAGCGGCGGAGGAGGCTGAGAATCCGTGAGCCTCAGAGTGGGGGGACCGACCATAGGAAAGTCAGATTCTCTCTCTCTCTCTCTCTCTCTCTCTCTCTCTCTCTCTCTCTCTCTCTCNCACACACACACACACACACACACACACACACACACACACACATACCACAAAGCTAGAGAACAAACATATGAGCACCTTCTCTGAGCTGGACACATTTCATACATGTAAGTTTTATGCTTAGGGCAATCCTGCAAAATATGATTCTCTAAGAAACCCCACCTTACAAATAAGAAACTGAGGCTGTGAATGGTAACTTGCCCATGGTCACTCAACTGGTCCGTAGAAGAGAATCCAGCACAGAAAACTGGTAGGGAAACTTTAAGAAGAACCCCAGGTCCACCTATACCACCCTGCCACCTCAAAGGGGCTATCCATGACGCCCAAATGGTGAAGAACCGACATCCTAGAGTGATCTCTAGGGTGCTTTCTAGTTGAATAGGCTGGAGAAGAGAGGGGTGTCGTTTGCTCCTTCACCACCAACCAACTTTTTATCCTGTGGTGGCTTTCATCTTAGCCCGTGGTGACTTTAAAAAGATCTTTCTTTATACCACGTGAGACTAGCCTATTTTGTAGGAGTATGGTGTACGCCCTTTGGCATTTTGACTGCCCTCCCCATTTACAAAGACATCATTTAGTCAGGGGTTATTTTGGGGGAGGTTGAAGACTGGGAAAACATACCCATCCGGAGAAGAACCAGCCAAAAGCCTTTATGAACTGGGAGATTTTCTGGACTCATTCTCCCACCCTGGCAACCCCTTATTTTCTTCCTGGGCTCACAGTTGCTTCCAGAAAGGTCTTATCTGTGTGATTGGTCTGACTTGGTAAGGAAGGGATACAGTCCCATCATCTGGCTGCGAGAGTTGCCGCTTAGCCCTCTGCGTGGTGGGGGCTGGTGCAGTGGTGAGTAGGCTGTCTGACGGTGGTTTAGAAGTGCCAGTGTTGAGCTAGTTCCTTCAACAAGCATCTGCTCCATGCCGGTGCTGTGCCACACTTTGGTGCTACAGATGGGACAAGATGCATTCTCTGCCCTTGTGTGAATAATAAATGTATAGAAGATTTGGGCCGGCTGACTGGCTCAGTTGGTTAAGAGCTTGCTCAAGAGTGCAAGCTCTGAGCAATAGCGTCGCCGGTTTGATTCCCACATGGGCCAGTGAGCTGTGCCCAAGCTGATCTGCTGCTGAGCTGCCAACAGGTGGCAGGATGACTCACCTGGTGAGAGTACGTGCTCCTAACAACAAGGTTGCCTGTTCAAGATGGTGGGCTGCCTGCAACTAAAAACTGAACTTGGCACCTTGAGCTGAGCTGCTGCCCGGGTGGCTCAGGGGATAGAGCGTGCGCTCTTAACAACAGGGCTGCCGGTTCATCTCCTTCATGGGATGGTGGCTATGCCCACCTGCAACTAATTGAACACAGCACCTTGCGCTGAGCGGTGCAACTTGACTTAGAGCTGAGTTTGCTGCACCCTCCACAACTAAGATTGAAGGACAACAACTTGGCTGTTCCCCTTCCCCAATTCCCCAATAAAAATCTTAAANAAGCATGAATCTGCAAAGCCTGTATTCTGAAGCTCCTGGGCTTCCCCGAGGTGTCCTGCCTCTAATCCTTTAGTCACCAGGGGCAGGCCTGATTTAGAGTATTGCCTGCGCAGGCCTGCCTTAGGAGCAGATCTGAGAGTCCCACTCTATTCGGTCTTCTATTAAGAAAAGGAAGGCTTAAAACATTACAGCTACATGTTACTTAGTCTGGCATTTAAAAGGATGTCCCCTATTTTGGGAACTTGAATCAAAGGCTGGTTGATTGAGGCCCGAGTGTAATTCTCACACCTTCTGGGACTGAGCGCTTCTGGGGTCGTGTGTAGCCCTGGGACGGACAGGACTTTGCCTGGGTATCCAGAGCCCTGAGGTCCTGCTTCCCTGGAGGTCACACCATGGTGGGCAGGAGGGAGGTGCTAAGCAAGGGATGCCTTCCAAGTGCTCTGAATACTGGGCTTTCTCTTCTTCCAAACTCAGAAAGAACAGAAACATGGCAGCATGACAGCGGTAATGATGGTGACAATGATGAGGAGGAGGAGAACGATAATTATGATGACAATACTCATATTTATTGGGCAATTACCATGTGGAAGGCCCATGCTAAGCCCTTTGCATATGCTCTTTTAATTCTTACAGAAACTATTGTGGTAGCCCCAGTTGTTATCTCCCTTTGTAGATGGAGAAAATAAAGCACAGGTTCACACAGCGAGCAATGATTTGAACTCCCCTTTTGTCTCCTGTACTGTCAGTCTGTCAATCTTTTCCCACCGCACACAGCTGAGCCCTGTGCCTGTGGAAATGGGAGTTGAAATGTGGGGTTGTCAGGGGAGACGGGGGGTGTGGCCTGGACTATCAGGACCAACAGACACACTCACCTGCCCTTCTTGCTCCTTGCCCAAGGTCCTTCAGAGGGCCAGGTGCTCCGGTTGTGACCTGAATCTCAGATCAGAGATTCATAAGCTCGCTCGGGAAGTCGTCTCTGTGGTTTCCACACAGGATGCTCACAGCCTTGTGAGAACCACAAACCTGGTTCTTGTTTTCTTTCGAGGCTTCATTGCCCTTGTCCTCCCAGAGTCCAAGAGACAGGAGTTGGCTGATGCCAGGGGCCAGGAGCCAGGCTCTCCAGTGCCTGTGGGACCCCCAGACTTTGGAGCAAGCCTNTATAATTGGGAGTATTTATTGATCTACAAAAAGGCAGGAAAACCCATGACTGTTCTCTGAGTCAGAGAGGAAAAGGCCCCTGCCTCATTCCACATGTCTTGTCTCCCCAGGTCTGACCCACCAGAAACATGGCAACCAGCGCTGTCCCCAGTGACAACCTCCCCACGTACAAGCTGGTGGTGGTGGGGGATGGGGGTGTGGGCAAGAGTGCCCTCACCATCCAGTTTTTCCAGAAGATCTTTGTGCCTGACTACGACCCCACCATCGAAGACTCCTACCTGAAACATACAGAGATTGACAATCAGTGGGCCATCTTGGACGGTGAGACCTGGATTGCAGCCCTGCATAGGGCTGGGATGTTACATACAGAGGGTCAAAGAAAGTTGACAGGGTTTAGTGGGGCATGATGGTTTCCTTCAAGTTGCCATTATGAGACAGTTGCCATTATGAGGCAGTTGGTACAAGGCTGTGTATGGTTTCCAGGGTAAATTCTGAACAGCTTTGTGGAAACCGAAATATGTATTCAACAAAGAGACAGGGCTAGGATCATGCCAACTCAATGATGTCATGTTTGTTATTTCTTGCTGATCAGAAGCTCTGATCAACATTTACAGATGTCTCTAGCTAATAAAAAAGGGCAAAATAGATTACCGTATTTCCCTATGTATAAGACGCAGCCTTTTTCGAAAAATTTGGGGTCTAAAAACTGGGTGCGTCTTATACAGTGGTTGTATGAGCGCAAAAACAAGCGCGAAAGAAAGCGGGAAATGCAAGTAAAAAAAATCTACAACCATTGTATAAGAGGCACCCAGTTTTTAGACCCCAAATTTTTCAGAAAAGGGTGCATTTTATACATGGGGAAATACGGTATTTCTTAATAAGCATAGTTTATTTGATAATTGTCCCTTGAAGGGAAAAAAAACTTGCATCTGACATTGTGTTTTTAGTTTTGTCTAAGTTAGCCTAGATTAGCAGTTTTCAAAGTGTGGTGGCCAGGCCAGCATCATGAACTTCATCAGGGAACTTAATCGGCAATGAAAACCTCAGGTACTGCTGAGGCAGAAACTCCGAGGGTGAGGCCTAGCAATCTGTGTCTTAACAAGCCTTCCATGTGATGCTGAAGTTAGAGAGCCACTGCTCTAGATTCTACCCGAACGTTGCTTTATACTCTGAGTCGCTCTCTTAAAAAGCCATTAGTCATAGGATGTCACTCTACGAGGGAAGCTTTGAAAACCACTGGGATATAAGTCCTCTGTCAGATATGTGGTTTGCAAATATTTTCTCCCAGTCTGTGGCTTGTTTTTCATTCTCTTAACAGTGTCTGTCAAAGACCAGAGTTTTTAATTTTCATGAAGTCCCGCTTATCAGTTTGTTCTTTTATAGATTGTGCTTTTGGTGTTGTATCTTAGAAATCATCACCTAACCCAAAGTCACAAAGGCTTTCTCCTATATTTTCTTCCAGAAGCTTAATGGTTTTAGGTTTTCCATTTGGGTTTATGATCTACCTTGAGTAAATTTTTGTATATGGTGTGAGGTATGGAACAAAGTTCATTTTTTTTTTTTTAAGATTTTTATTGGGGAATTGGGGGATGGGAACAGACAAGTTGCTGTCCTTTTGTTCTTTTGTTCTTCAGTCTAGTTGTGGAGGACGTTGCTTCACTGGCCCAAGTTGGCACCATCATTGTGCTCTTCCCAGGCGAGGCAGATCAGTCGCCGGCTTCTGGACGGCCATTCACTGCGGCTGCTGGCCGCTCATGCTGGCAAAGTTCACTTTTTAAATATGGCTTTGCAGTTGTTCCAGCACTATTTGTTGAAAAGGTTGTCCTTTCCCCACTGAATTGCCTTTGTACCTGTGATGAAAATTGGTTATACGTATATTCTATTTCTTTGATCTGTATGTCTGTCTTAACACCAATACCACACTTTCTTGATAACTGTAGCTTTATGATGAGTGTTGAAATCAGGTATTGTTAAATCTCCAGCTTTGTTCTTTTTCAATTTCTATATGAATTTTAGAATTGGTTAAATTCTAAAATTCTAGATTTTGATTGGAATTGTGTTGAACCTGTAGATCGATTTGAAGAGAATTGACAGCTTAATAATGTTGAACCTCCTTACCCATGGCCACAGTATCTCTCTCCATTTCAGTCTTTTTTAATTCCCTCATCAATTGTCTTGTAGTTTGGAGTGCACAGGTCTTGTGTATATTTTTTGTCAGCTTTATATCTATATCTGTATTATAAATGATATTCGGTTTTTATTTCAGTTTTCAATCTTTTGTTGCTAGTATATAGAAATACTATAGAATTTTGTATATTAATCTTGTAACCTACAACCTTGCTAAACTCACTTATTCTAGCTTTTTTTGTAGATTCCATTGGATTTTCTGCATAGATGATCATGTCTGTGAGTAAAGATAGTTTCACTTCTTCGTTTCCAGTCTGGACGGCTTCTATTTCTTTTTTCTTGCCTTATTTCACTGGCTAAAGACATACATGTCTTGTTCTTGATCTTAAAGAGAAAGCTTTCACCTTCTGCATTAAGTATGATGTTAACTATAGGTTTTTTGTTTTTTTTATAGATGCCCTTTATTAGGTTGAGGAAGTTCCTTTCTATTCCTAGTTTGCTGAGAATTTTTATCAGGAATGGATGTTCAATTCTGTCAAATGCTTTTTCTGTGACTACTGAGATAATCATGTTGTTTCTTTTTTAGTTTGTAAATATGGCAAATTATATTGATTGATTATTCTAATGTTAAACCATCCCTGGGGTAAACCCCACTTGGTCATGATAAATTATCTTTATATATATCATTGGCTTTCATTTGCTAAAACTTTGTTTAGAATTTTTGTGTCTATGTTCTTGAGAGATATTGGTCTATAGTTTTCTTGTAATGTTCTAGTAATGCTGGCTTTATAAAATGAATAGGGAAGCATGCTCTCTTCTTCAATTTTCTAGAAGATTCTGAGCAAAATTGGCATTACTTCTTTCTTAAATGTTTGGTAGAATTCACCTAAGAGGTTTTCTTTATAGGAAGGTTTTAAACTACAAATTTAATTTCTGTAATAGATACAGGGCTATTCGGGTGATCCATTTCTTCTTCAGTGAGCTTTGGTAGTTTGTGTCTCAAAATTTTGTTCAGTTCATCCAAATTATCAAATTTATTGGCATAGAGTTATTCATAATATTCTCTTACTGTCCTTTTAATATCTGCAGTGATGTTACCTCTTTCATTCCAGACATTGGTAATTTGTGTCTTCTCTTTTCTCCCTGATCAGGCTGGCTAAATATTTATGAATATCATTGATTTTCTCAAAGAACCAACTTTTAAGTCTATTGATTTTTTACATTTTACTCCACTGATTTCCACTCTTATCTGTATTATTTCCTTTTGTCTACCCTACTTTGGATTTAATGTGCTCTTCTTTTTCTAACTTCTTAAAATGGAAGCTGATGTCATTGATTTGAACATTTCTTCTTTTCGTAGGTATTCATTTGGTGCTATTAATCTCCCCTAACTGCTCATTTAGCGGCAGCCCACAGAATGTAATAAGTTATGATTTCATTTTCATTGAGTTCAAAATACTTGCTAATTTCCCCCTTTGATTTCTTTTTTGTCCCATTGGTTAGTTAGAAATGCATCATTTATTTCTCCAAGTCTTTAGGAATTGTCCAGAGATCTTTCTGTCATTGATTTCTAGTTTAATTTCATTTTGTCAGAGAATGTACAGTATATGATTTGAATTCTTTAAAACATATTGAGGCTTGTTTTATGGCCCAGGATATGGTCTATCTTGGTAAATGTTCCATGTGCACGGGAAAAGAAGTGTATTCAGCTGTTATTGGATGGAGTGTTCTAAGAATGTCTATTAGATCAAGTTGGTTGATAGTGTTGTCTAGGTCTTATATATTCTTATTGATTTTCTGTCTACTTGTTCTGTTAATTATTGAGAGGGGGTCTAGAATGTCAGAGTATAATTGTGGAATTGCCTATTTTTTCCTGTTAGTTTCTGCTGCATGTATTTTGACACTTTGTTATTAAGTGCATAAATGTTTGGTACTGATACATCCTCTCGATGAACTGACGCTTTTATTATTGTAAAATGACATTCTTTATCCCCGGCTTTTCCCTCCCTACACTGTGGCCTAGAAACAAACTCAAGGCAGTATGCTGGGGATTCATAGGTGTCCTCACCTCTTTTATATCCCATCTCCTAGGGGTCACCATTCTTTGTTGCCTGATGGCCAGTGTCTTGAAAACCATGTTTTATATATTTAGTCTGGCTTTTGGTCATTTCAGGTGAGAAGATAAATCTGGTCCTTGTTACTCCATCTTGGCCAGAACCAGAACCATATCATCACTTGAAAAAATACAACAACTTCGTGTATATACTAAAAACCACTGAATTTTAAGTTGAATTTTAAAATGAAAAACACTTTTAAAGGGTGAATACTATGGTATTTGAATTATATCTTAATTTTACAAGACACCACCCTTCAGGGGCTTGTCTGCAGCCCTGGAACTTTGAACAGTTACATCAGGTACCAAGTATGGTCCCCACCTCAGGGACTTTGATTTGGTGGTCTCTCTGTCTAGAATGTTATTGCTGCAGAAATACATTCTCACTTCATTTAGGTCTCCACTCAAATGTCACCTTATCTAAGAGGTCTTTCCTAAGCGAACCATCTACACTAGTACCTAACCCAACCTTGTCATCTCTGTCCCCTTGCCCAACTCTTTTTCTTTATTCTACCTTTTACTGTTGAACATACATTTATATTTGTTCAATACATCTATTTGTTTGTTTATTTGTCACTCCCCACTAAAATATAAATTTATGAGAGCAGGGACTTTATTTTATTTACTGCTATGTCCTTGGCATCTAGAATACTGCTTGGCTCATAGTAAATCCTCAGTAAATCTTTGTGGAATGAATGAATGAATGAATGAATCCTAAACAATATATGTGCAGTCACAGGTTTGATGTGCTAGCTATATTTTTCTTTTTTTTTCTTTTTTTGATTTTTTTATTGGGGAATTGGGGGAAGGGGAACAGACAAGTTGCTATCCTTTTGGTCTTCAGTCTAGTTGTGGAGGACGTTGCTTCACTGGCCCAAGCTGGCACCATCGTTGCACTCTTCCCCGGTGAGGCAGATCAGCCGCCGGCCTCTGGACGGCCGCTCACAGTGGCTGCCGGCTACACACGGTAGCTTATGGCAGCCCACTGCAGCAGGGGTCGAGCTGCCGTTCACCATCTTAGCTGCAGAGGGCAGTGTCACTGGCCCTCATATGTCGATCCAAACCGGGGCCCTCTGGCGTC